AACTGATTAGTTTGTAAACACTGGATGTTCTAGTACCTGAGTGATCCGTCCAGTGTTGCTGTTGTTCACCGTTTTTGTTTTTGTTCAGGCACAGGAAAGAACAGGAGTTAAGTCTGCCTTGGGCCAAACGTGTGAGAATTTATTAAATGGAGACATTCACGAAAAAGAGTCAGGTACATGTTGTTAACAGAGCATGATGCCAAAAAGCCTGGCCAGGTTACCAGGCTACACGATAAAGGTTCACAAAAACGTGACAAGCCACAGAATTGTAGTAGCATGTGTCACAAACTGAGGACCCGGCCTGCTTACCGCAGAGAGGAGGCCTCATGAAATGTGGGCTCAACCTAGCTGCTTACGGAAGCAAGAAGACATCATGAACTGCAGGCTCAACTCCTCTTAGACCCGCTCACCAAGTGTCATGAATCGCTGGCTCAAGTAATTTACGAACTGTTTCTTGTATGAAGTTGATAAACCTTGTTTCACAGCAAGTTCGTACATAAAGTGAACCAGGTAGGACGCAGTTACAAATGAAGCCAAAAATCCCTCCCATCTCTAACCTTTTTTTTTTTCAGAATTGGTCCTTTCAAGCTGGATTCACAAATCTTCATCCCTTCCATTTCTGAGTCGCTTTGATGCTAACGTGACTCAATTCCAACCTTCTCTTCTGTTACGCGATATTAATGGTCAACATGAATTCATGTCACAAGGAAGTGAACCAAATGCAGCAGTGTGTGATGTTCAAGACAGAAACAGACTTACATCGCTAGATAAAAAGTCTTTGATAAGAAAAAGACTTATTCCCTTAATTATTTCTTTGTTGATATTAGGCACTGCTGTAGCCATACATCATTTAGTTCCTTTGCCATCGTCCCACGAGACGGCATCACTTGGTAATGACACCCTTGGTTTTAACATGACTGGCAATAACATACGAAATCCGTGACTTTATCCAGTTACATAGAAAGGTAAAATTCTGGGCCTTTTTTGTTGTCATGCAACTCTTTTCCTGATAGAAAGAAAAAAGCTTTGTGTGATGACACAAATAACAGCTGCAACACATGGAAGATGAGGGGTGGGGTGGGTTATACGCGTTAATGAGTATGTCATATCAAGAAATGCTTTCCTGGTTAACTGGACATGCTTTTTCTTGAAGTCTTTGAGGACCAATCTCTTTTATTCCCCTAGATATTTGAAATATTGTAAGAATACAAAGCATACATTTTTCACACTAGATCCAATCTGCCGAGGTGAGAGGGACAGGTCAGGTGGGGGTAGGCGAGTTATACTAATGAATGCATACTTTTTCATTCATATATATATATTTTTTCATTGACATTCATTTATATTCATTAATTATTTAAAATATTGTAACTGATCAAGAAATGTTACGTAATTGATGAAATA